TGTTATATTTACCCACTAAATATGGGTAATATAGATTCTATATTTAGAAACCCAAAAATAGTTTGGATAAATATAAAAATTTTATAATATTAAAAATCTCTTATATTTAGTCTTATTTACTACCTATAATCATGTCCTTATAATTCTCAAGTTACATCATCCACTTCTATACCATTACTATAATAATAGTTTCCTATGTCTTTTATTCTTTTTATCACTACTTCAGCCGTTTCTTGATGCGAAGCTAGATCATATATTAAGGAACATAATAAAAAAAATGTCTCGGGTTCAAATCTCCTTTGGTACGAAAGGTTATTTTTTAAATTGAAATATCCAAATATTATTTTCGGATATCGAAAAGATTATAAATCAAAGATTCGCACTCCAACGGTTTATTCAAAAAAACAAAAAGTCACTAAACATTAATTTGTTCTTAAGGTTGCACATACTTTATTTTATATAGTTCCACAGATATGTCTAAATCCTCTATATATTAATAGAGGAGATACTAAGTGAAAATTCTAGATATCATCCAGAGAGGATTTTAAAGAACTTTTAAGGAAAGCTATTAATTTTTTTTAATAACATTATTGTGTAAATAATTAGACTAAATTTATATCACATATACAATATATAACTATTAAACAAATATGGAAGCAAATAATATGTGGTAGTTAATATGGAAGATTTTATTTAATATATATAAACTATATGTGAGAATATTTTTTTTCCAATGACTATTAGATTTTTTTGAAATGTGTTAAATACGAGATTAGATACGGGGTTAAAAAAAAAGAATATTAAAAAAAAATTCATGATTTTTTTTATATATAGGAAAAATTAAAAATAACAAAGATATATCTCCGGTATAGATAAATATATTTTATCTTACAAAATTTAATTTGCATGATATTTAGACTAAATGCAGATAATTTTTTAGAAATGCCACTTTTCAAAAATCTCATCATTTTGAAATTTTCTTTAAAATGCCACTAATCCTCTATATAATAATTGAATAGACATTTGGTGAAAAAATCATATGTATTATTCAATGAAGGTTTTAAGGAATATGTCATTTAAATTAACTAATGAAAATATTTTAATTAAAACTAAATGCTATGGTGGAAATCTCTATATGTTTTTATTAATTTTATAATATAAATGGATTAATATATATTTTACAGAGTCAAGTTTAACTAAATATAATATTTAGACTTACTATATCATCTATTTATTTTTTTTAAATTGATATATTAAAAAGCTTTTTATTATTATATTAAAACATATATTTTTTGTTTGTTACGTCTGACAAATTTATATAAATCTACAATTTATTTGATTTATCCCATACTCTACTATTTACACAAATAATAAAACTCAATTTGACACTACAAATCAATTGAAAAAAATAACATTTGCATTAGTTTTAATATTTTATGTAAAATTGATCGAAACATATGACATTGAAATATGTTTAGTAAAAATTTAATTTTATTACATGTATGCATAATACATATAATTTTGTACGTTTCTAAATATTAGAATACACATCTAAATATTAAGATCAATTAGAAAATATATTTTAATATTTAATCCCATGCTTCAAAATCTAGTAGTCTCATAAACGTTAAGGACTCTCCATGACAACGTTGAAAAATAAAATTAACATAGAAGACAAATAAACTCTAATCAACTTTTGTGTTTGATTCATCAAGATGAACATAAGGTGAGTCAAAATGACTCAAATAGCCCGGACGTCGCCGTCGGCGAGGTAGAGTTTGCGGAGGCCGGCGCAGCCACGGAGCGGTTGGTCACGCAAGAAACCCATTGCGTTGGCAAAATGGCGAGTAGAGGCGGCGCCATTGGATCGCGTGAGGATCACGGTAGCGGTGCTGCGGCCAGGATCAGCCACGTGGCAGCCAGGCATAGGACTCTCGACGAGCTCCGCCAGACATTGCTGGTCCTGTCGGTCTCCTGTGACGGCGACTCTGTATCTTCCCCGGCGTCCTGTCACCGCCTGACCAACCACCTCGGATTTCAATGTCACTCTGTCTTTGCACACTATTCTCATTTTTGCTCCTGTTATTCAAATAACCCCCAAATATTTCAATAATTTCATCTCTTTGCATGTATCTAATTTAACATATAATCAAATTCAAATAAAAAGAATGTTATTTAATCATAGATTTGAGTAGAATGCAAATCCAATCATGATCCGTTGTTCTCTTATCTTTGTAAAAATTGTTTCAAATCATTTGGAGTCTTGTG